TTTGAAACGGAAGCTGTCAAGTAGTCTCTAAAATCGTATATCACTTAAAGTTTAAAAATAAATAAATCGCTTCCATTTTTTCGTCTAAAGAGTCACCGTTTACGAGCCCGTATTATTTTCATCCTTAGCGCTTACTAGGAAAAAAAAATCTGCCTTAAACAAATTCACGCCATTGGCACGTTCTTCTGCTTATTTTCTTTCACCTCCGACCAACTCTTGCAACGTTTTCACCAACAAAAGCTTTGTTCAATCTTGAACATCAAATGGAATTACTATGTGACCAACCCCAAAGTCCTGGAAAGAGTCAACAGGCAAAGCATCGAATCGCTTATCATTAAACATTGTCTTCGATGGTCATGACATGTAGCAAGGATGGAAGTATCAAATTTCCACGTCAAGTCGTTTTCATTGAGTTTACTTCCGGAAAAAAGACGACGGGTTGGCTGTATTCGAATATACAAGGACAAATACAAACATTTCTATGAAGTCAATGCCATCGATTCTTCCTTGTAAGAATTAGTCATTGTAGTTACCATCATAAAGGAATTTTCTCTTGGGAGGGGTTTTGTTTACAGGTAAAGCATCGAAGTCGGTAAGATTAGTTCAAACATCTCACATACCAAACAGGTGTTAATTAAGAATAAATGACTAATTACATAGTAATTACATAATTTCTTTCAGATTTGTATCAAATGAACCAATAAGTAAACGTTATATTAGCATCTTAGTCGTTGCTATGTGATGACATAGCTAAAAAAAAAGTGTAATGTTGCCAGGTGAGGATGAGGTCAAGAACGAATATAGGATTGGCAGGTAAGAGCATTTTTAATCAATTCACCCCAAGTAAGGTGATAATTCCACTAAGACACAAGTGTTGCTGGGAGTGGAAGAGAATGAGAAAACTTTCGCGTGAAGAAAGGACAATAAAAGAAAATGATTCAGAAAGACAAAAGATGGCAATTTGTTTTTAATCAACTCACCCCAAGCAAGGCAATAATTACTCTAAGATGCAAAGAGTTTACTGAGAGTGAATGGGAATGAGAATACTTTAATGCGAAAAAAGGAAAATAAAATAACCGGTTTCAGGAAGATGGATTTGCATTTATTTTTTTTTTATTATTGTAGTTGGCATATAAGCAAGAAAAATAGGAAGAGTGTAACACAGGCAAGAATTGCAAGAAAGGGAACTATTAGAATAGAACTTACGGTTACATCTAGCTACTTTACGATGAGTCCGAGTAGCCAATCTAGTAGTATGCTTAAATTCACGTGGGCGAGTTACCAAGGAGGAGAGCTCATAAGAACCACTGCCCTGAAAATATTTGTAGAAAAGGCAGAGAGAAGCCACGTGGGAAAGAAAGTGACTAAAGTTGAGATGCCAGGTCAGGATCCAATATTTATTATTGAAATATAGAGTAATTGTGGGACACGGGCAAAGGAGAAATTGGGTAATGCTAGTCACTGCTAACTTTTTTTTTTTTTTTTTTTTAAGCGTTTCACCCCAAGAAAGGCGGGAAGCCACTAGGATGCAAGGGGTTACAGGAAATAGCAAGATCAGATAGGAGTGATAGAAGAAAGGATGAGGGTAGTGGATAGATCAAGGCAACTGGAGATGTCGATTGACATTACACTTGAATAGCTGGAGATTATAGCTGGCAGGGAAACAGGAGAAGGGAAGGGAGTTCCACAGGCGAGAGGTGCGAGACATGAAGCTATTAGAGTAGAAGAGACGGCTATATTTAGGAGTTTCGACAGTGAGGGGGTGAGAGCGGGATGCCAGCCTCGTAGGGCGCTGGAACTCATGACGTCTGGGAACCAGCGAATGCAGCTCCTCGGAACAATTTCCATGAAAGTATTTGTAGAACAGACATAGGGAAGCGACGGCGCGTCTGTGAGAAAGTGACTGTAGACGAGACGCCAGGGCAGGGCCAACCATATTGCATATCCGCCTCTGGAGCCTATCAAGAACCCTGAGGCAGACAGAAGGGCGCCAGACCATATATGGCAGCAATACTCCATGCAAGGGCGAATTGTGGATTTGTATAGCTGGAGGATCGACTCAGGGGAGAAAAACTTCCTAGCGCGGCTCAGGGAGCCAACTTTCCTCGCAGTGGACGAGGCAATTGATTCGATGTATTTATTCCATCTCAGGTCAGCAGTCAACGTGAGACTGAGAAGCCGCAGAGAGTTGCTCTCGAGAAGTTGAGCGTCAGACATTCTAATGGAGGGAAGGGAAGGCTCTCTGTGATGATTAATAGAGAGCAGTTTTGTCTTCGAAGCGTTGAAGTTGACCAGCCAATTCATGCCCCAGTTCACAATCGATTGGAGGTCCTTTTCGAGATCGTAGTCTTAGTTAATCACAACCACGGCCCATTCATTCAATACAATTCAACCATTTACCACAATAACCCGTCCCTCGCCAAACAAACCCTCATATACCGCAATACCACGCAATCGCAGGGGACCTACAAAACACCCCGTGGTATAAAAATCTCGTTAAAGTCTATAATAAAATATATAAAAATTTGATGAATCATGAAATGAGTGTGGTGGGGTGATGAACCCAGGAAACTAACTAAAGATTGTAACAAAACAAACCTAAACATAGAACTCGTCCACCCCTCAAAATAATAAGAGTGGCCGCTGTATCCTGTCGACAGACACAATAAAGTGGCCCACTCACTAATAGAGTGGGGTGAGTAAAAATAAATGATGGAATGGGAGAATCAAAGTCTAACACAGCCGAGATGAAAAAGGGGGCCACAAACAAATTGGGGAGTTTGGGATACTCGACCTGGATCATAACAAAGGGGGAAACCGGGAACAGGCCATGAGCAACACTCATTCACATTAACTAGGAAAAACAAGTAATGTCTAGCTTAACCCGGGAGAGGGATCACAGGAAACCGCCCCGTTGTGCCGAAGGGGACTTAAAAAAGGAACTCAAGAATAGCCCCTTTCACACGAACCAAGCTCGCTACTCTCACCCAACTTTCGCTGAAATGTGTCGACACCAAACGCTTTTTATCAGTTCTGATCTTCATCTTCAGCTGATACTGAAAGAGAATAGCGTTCATATCGCAAGATTCCCTCCATTCGCGTCGTCCAGATCACGATTCGCGCTACGGCTAGCAGCGTTAGAATCTATAACATTACACACACTTCTTTGGATTTAATCAAGTATTTCTAAATATACAGCCGGTTCACCAGACCAGATATGGCAGCAGCATTCAGTGCACAAATGAATGGTACATTAATAAATGTGCAAAATGAATTCTGACAAGAAAACTGCTTGATACGACACAAGGAACCAACGCTCTTAGCACGTAGCAATTAAATCATTATAAGGACTCAAGTTGATGTCAGTAGAAAACGTGAAACCAATATGGAGTTGAATACCCTGGAGGTTAGCATCAGCCATTATGTTGAAGGGGAAAAGGTTCTTTAGGATTTTTTTAATTTTTTGCCCTAGTTAATAAGCTAAAATTAGGATAATCTCAAAAGGGGAGGATAAAGGAGAAAATGAGGATAATATTTCCAGGTGAGGATGTTGACAAGTTGTATGTTGGAAGCTTTTTTTTCCACCAAATCGGATGTTGAATTTAGATAAGTAATGATTTCAATTGGCTCAATTAACGGTAGTGGTCGGCGTAAAGTGATCGGAATTGATCAATCCGAAAGGTGTCATCTTCCATCCGGACAAAGCCAGACTTCATCTCTGTTTGCACTTCGCAGACACGTCAGAAATTGGTAGAGTTTAACTAGGATGCCCTACTGCGACTGCTATACTCACAGGATATTACAGCTCCGGATTAGCACTTTTTATTTTGGCAATCACAATGTGCATTCTCTTAACGGGAATAAACACAATTATATGGAAGACTGTAAAAACCACTTTTACGAGTTCATCACTCAGAATATTCCCGTGGACGAAATCTTGATGCTACGTCAGAAAGAAAGAGAAAATTAGTAAACGAAAATAACACAAGTTTCGAAATATGTGGGTTACCTTTGAAATTAGCTTAAAGAATGCTAAGTAATTTTGTTCCGACCAGATATATATATAGAGAGAGACAGAGAGAAATTCGCCAACGTTGATTAGTTGATACAAATCTTATAGCAAAAATATTGGTTGATATAATAATTTTAATCGCCCGATGGCATCTTTTTACATGACTGATGCTAACCTCCAACCTCTTTTTTTGGTTGTTGGTTGATTCGTTTTCTACGGGTTGTCAACCTTTTACAGGTTATTTAAAGCCAGGAATATTTTTCGATTGTAAGATTGGGGTGGGGAAATAATAATGTATTTAATGATACAAGTTGTTTTATCGTACACGAACGGCGAAATAGTGTTTGCCAGAAAATCGACAGAACTGTTTTTGGTCAAATTGGCTGAATTCTGGGCAGCTAGTTGAATTTGGAATTGCTGTATCAAGGCTCACTTGAGATTTCTCAAACTGTTCTTGCTGCTGACGCAAAATCTCTTTTAACTCGCCTTATGAAACAGCCATGTTTGTGTGTGTGTGCGTTTTTGTGGGGTTTTTTTATGAAAAAGATAAGTGAAAAAAAATTTAGATTAAATTTCACTCACCAATACAAATTAAATAAAGAACATAATCTTTGTTGCCAAATCTGTTGTATTGACTCTTCTTCTTTTACAGTGTAACTTGGAGCAAGAAAAACAAAGATTGACAGAGATAAAACGGAAACACGCGTAGAAAAAAATAATAGATTTATTTGGTTACCATGTTACATTCCATTCCTTTACCCGGGCTGACAACTGCACTCTTTTTCTGAGAGAGTATTTTTTCCCTTTTGTCTCTAACACAAATATTACTAATTAACCCATAGATAGGGGCAGGAAGAGGTGGTTTCATACTTTCCGCATGGGTATTTGCGTCTAAGTGAATATAACGAATCCAACGGGAACTGGAATCCGGATCGCCGATTAACAATTCCGAGCCACTATTCATCACACCACCCGCACATCCGAGCTTATAGCATCTGTTATTCACAAGCGGTCACCCATCTACGTACTGACCCCGCTCTACGTTGTTTAACTTCGTTAATCGTACGAGAACCGGTATTTCAATGTGATGCGGCCTAACATGAAGTGAAAAGATTTATATTGAATCTATTGCCTGGTCTGCTGCTAGAAGAGTTGGGTCACTATGTTCTGCTCAACAATTTCTTTCTCACCAGAATCTATACCCTAGTGTAATCGATTTCTATTTTCCCTCAGATTAGGTCATTTGCAGTGTTCTGCAATAAAATGAATCTATTTTCGGGGGCGAGGGTATGATGAAATTTGTTTGGCCCTGAAAAATATTGCGTCATACGTGATTACATTAGATTTTTATCACGCGCAGACACTATTATCTCGACTGTCGATTAGTTGTCCTACGGCCATGGTCTGCGATGGGCGTTACGCCAATGAAGCCTACGAAAACTGTAACGGTGCATTTACACATTTATAAGTCTACCATTAGTTGATGCGTTAAATTGCTGTCACATTTGGTGTGTTGTTTCTGCTAAATATTTAGAGATTCTTGGTAAACTCCAAAAAAGAATTTGCAATATTATGAATCTTCACCTGACATCTCGGCTTCAGTCACTTTCCCAACGCCGTAACATAGCTTACTGTGTCTATTCTTTAAATATTTTCATAATAATTGTTCCGATGAACTTTTGTCTATGATACTTAGATTTATGAATTTAAGCGCAGTACTAGATTGGCGGCAAGGTCTCAGGATTTTACAGTTGAAATGGCTAGATGTAACCGTAAGTTCTATGCTAACAGTTTCTTCTCTCACATAAGATTCACTTATTGGCATCTCGGCTTCAGTCACTTTCCTACCACCATAATGTAGCTTTCCTTTGCCTTTCCTTTAAATAATTTCATGCTAATTCTTCTTTTCACAATGGTACATAGACTTTATGAATTTAAGTGCAGTACTAGATTGGTGACAAGGTCTCATCATTTTACAGTTGAAATGGCTAGATGTAACCGTAAGTTCTATGCTAACAGTTTCTTCTCTCACATAAGATTCACTTATTGGCATCTTAGCTTCAGTCACTTTCCTACCACCATAATGTAGCTTTCCTTTGCCTTTCCTTTAAATAATTTCATTCTAATTCTTCTTTTCACTATGGTACATAGACTTTATGAATTTAAGTGCAGTACTAGATTAGTTATTTACAGTTGAAATGGCTAGATGTAACCGTAAGTTCTGCTGCTAGGAGAATTGGTGCATTGTGTCGCGCTAAACAATTTTTCTCGCCAGAAATACATTTATTACTCTACCAGCTGAAATGACTATATTTAACCGTAGGTTCTATGCTAACAGTTTCTTCTGTCGCAATTTTCGCTTGAGAATCTCTTATCTGACTTCTTTCTTTACAGTCAACTTGATCTTAAAACATTAAATACAATGTCAATCGTTATCTTTTGTTTTTATTTATTTATCTTCTTTTATTGTTCTCACTCCTTAATAAGGTTTTCCTTTTTCTGGCATTCTCTCACATTCAGTAAACCTTTGTTTTTTAGTGGCTTTATTGCCTTGCTTGGGGTGAATTTTTTTTTTTTAATAATAAAAACTGAGGATACAAGTTGACGCTAAAAACATTGTCATGTGTTACTGGATTGAAAGAAAGTCATGCGAATTAATTGACCTTAAAAACCAGAAGGGAAGATTTCAAAGGGAGATTTTTTTTGTTTATTTTATTTCAAAAAAATAAAATAAGCAAATGCATTTTTAAATAAAACCAACCAGTTTACAGTTTATCATATTTTGATATTTAACGATTGGCTGCGCTATTTAAAAAACGCTTATAAAGAAAAATGTTCTGGTCCGATGAGATGATGACTATTTTACATACACGCACAGACACACATTAAATACACAAATTCATATATATATATATATATATATATATATATATATATATATATATATATATATATATATATGGGCAGCAATCCTTTTTATATACAAGTTTCGTTTAACATGACTGACAAGTTTCTGCGATTAAGTTTTTTGTATTTATTTTAATTTTTGTTCATAAAAGTAAAACTAAAACATTCGTCTTTGGGACAGTTTTTACACACTTTGTGCCCAGAGAGGAAAACACTTGTAGGAACACAAGAAACGCGTTTCGTCCTTTCGTGTTTATAAAATCCGTTGATGCCACTACGCATGCGCATGAACGAAAGAGAGACGGCGAGATTTTTAAATTTAAAATTATTGTCTTATGTGTTTTGCTTATATAATGTAGGCGATTTTATTTAGTTTCTTTTCCTTTTGTGTTACCATCGACTTTGGCAATAAAGACTGGAAGAGGTAAGGAAGAATATGTGAAGATATGAACTGAAAATGAGAGTTGAAGAGAGTCATGAGACAATGGCAAATCACATCGAGCTTCTTAGTTAACTTTGATCTCCCAAAAATTTAAATCGTCATCTTCTGTCTTAATTCCTATACTTGTATTATTCTCTCTACTTAATAGTATTTTTATTCTTTTCAAATTTTTTAAGCGTTTCTCCTCAAGCAAGGCGGGAGTGCCACTAGCACACAAAGACTTACAGAGAGTGAAAGTAACAGAAAAAAATGGGTGTTTGAGGAAAGGATATAGAGGAGGACGGGGGTCAGGATCAAGGCATTAGAAGATGTCGATTGACATTACATTTGAATATTTGAGGATTATAGCTATCAGGGAAGCAAGTAAAAGGAAGGGAGTTCCCATCTCTGTCCCATAATGATTGTTCCATTTATGTACACATTTCATAGACTAAATGGAACAATCATTATGGGACAGAGGTAGAATAATACATAGTTGGCGTGAAAATACTTATAGAAGAGACAGAGGGAAGCCACGGTATGTCGGTGGGAATGCAACTGTAGACTAGATGTCTATCACATGGCATATTCGTCTCTGGATTTTGTCGAGGACGTCGAGATTTACAGCGGGAACACCAGACCATATATGACAGCAATATTCCATGCATGGGCGGAAACAGACAAAACAAAACAAAAACTTCCTGGCACGACACATAGAACCAACTTTCCTTGTGGTAGATGAAGCTACTGAGCCTATGTATTTGTTTCAACTCGTATCATCGGGCAGCGTGAGACCAAGGCGAACTCGTGGAGTTGGAAATCAGCCATTCTAATAGCAGACAGGGAGGGCTCTCTGAAAGCGAAAACCATATTGCTTGTCGGAGAGCAGATCATGGACTGTAAGATGCTTATCCACTTCGGCGTTGATTAAAGCCTCAAAGACGTTACTGATGAGTGGTAAGAGACTGATAGGACGATAGATGGGTCAGAAAGGTCTCCAGAGTTCTGAAAGACAGGCAAAACAAATGAGGACTTCCAAGGCAGTAGTTGTATAGTTTGGGGAGGTCAGGAGCCAATTCAGAACAATGGCCTGTATCCCGTCCCCACAACTAGCCTTATGGGAGTCAAATTTAGAGATGATGTCCGATACCATCGTTGGGGTTATGTGAGAGCTTCAGTTCTGTGGCAAAATCTGGTGTTATATCCGAGTATATTATATAGACTGCGCTAACATCGGCTCGACTCGATTCGGTATCTAGCCATTCCCCCCACGAGGGTTGCATGTGGCACAAGGCCGAGTTTAACGTGAGTTTCCCGAGCTCGTATGCTCGGCCAAAAAATGCCCGTAGAACCCGTATAAACAGGATCGGGTTGGTCAACCTCCCCGAACCAGACTCTGCCCTTCGGCGGAGCCTCGTCCGTGTTCCTCTCTGCTCAGAGGCAGAGAGTTCGACCGTCAAGCCGAGAAGCTTGGCTTGATTCGTCCCTCTCTTTTGATAGGCGTAGTATACATAGTGTTAGGAAGAGTTCATTCTGTGGTTATAGACTACAATATATGACAATTTTACAGACTGTTTGCTGTATCAATGCTAAGGATCCTTGTCAGTAATACGATTTCACCTAAAGGAAAGGGAGACCTATATTCATGCCTTTCTAAATGCATTAGAGTGTGGTGAACGTAGCAACCTAACGCATAAATTGAATTCAGTCGGCCGATATGATTTTCGGCGCCGATAACCATTACCGCACCTATATAGCCTATTTAATGAGATTTCTCGAATATTCGGGCAGATAGATGAAAATGAATAAATATAGAGTTTAATAAATAAACGGAACGTCTACCCAAATACGAATATCCAAAAAATAAGGTTTGAGTAATATCAAAATATATATATGTGTGTGTGTGTGTGTGCGTGTGTGTTTGAGCTTGCGTGTGCATGTACTATTGTAATTGGTTCCTCATATATATATATATATATATATATATATATATATATATAAAAAAAACACACCCACCGAAGTGGAAGGGGGTATATAAAGAAATTAAAAGAATATTTATTTAATAAGGGTAACATAGTTTTGTCACAAGGACACAAGTAAGGGGCGCTTTTGGCAAAGCTAGATTATTTTCCTAACCATTACTCTATGCCGAAAGCGGCTATAAATTTAAATGAAAGGCTCAAAATGCAAAGCGTAAACCAAATGAAGGATGGACAAAGAGAAATGGGCAAAATCGGGCGAGAAAGAAAAAAAAAGGAGGAAGGAAGAAAAAGCATCAAAAAATAAATTGAAAGAAAAAGAGAAAAATTGAGGTAAAACAATGAAGAATCGGAAGTATTTCAAACGACGAAAAAAAATGAAAGGATGAATATGTGGAAATGTTAAAAAAAAAACGAAAGAAAGAGACACAGATGAATGAAAGAAAGAAAGAGACACAGATGAATGAAGGAAAGAAAGAGACAGATGAAAGAAAGAAAGAGACAGATGAATGAAAGAAAGAAAGAGAAAAATGAATGAAAGAAAGAAAGAGACAGATGAATGAAAGAAAGAGACAGATGAATGAAAGAAAGAAAGAGACAGATGAATGAAAGAAAGAGACAGATGAATGAAAGAAAGAAAGAGACAGATGAATGAAAGAAAGAGACAGATGAATGAAAGAAAGAAAGAGACAGATGAATGAAAGAAAGAGACAGATGAATGAAAGAAAGAAAGAGACAGATGAATGAAAGAAAGAAAGAGACAGATGAATGAAAGAAAGAGACAGATGAATGAAAGAAAGAAAGAGACAGATGAATGAAAGAAAGAAATAGACAGATGAATGAATGAAAGAAAGAGACAGATGAATGAAAGAAAGAGACAGATGAATGAAAGAAAGAAAGAGACAGATGAATGAAAGAAAGAGACAGATGAATGAAAGAAAGAAAGAGACAGATGAATGAAAGAAAGAAAGAGACAGATGAATGAAAGAAAGAGACAGATGAATGAAAGAAAGAAAGAGACAGATGAATGAAAGAAAGAAAGAGACAGATGAATGAAAGAAAGAAAGAGACAGATGAATGAAAGAAAGAAAGAGACAGATGAATGAAAGAAAGAGACAGATGAATGAAAGAAAGAAAGAGACAGATGAATGAAAGAAAGAAAGAGACAGATGAATGAAAGAAAGAGACAGATGAATGAAAGAAAGAAAGAGACAGATGAATGAAAGAAAGAGACAGATGAATGAAAGAAAGAAAGAGACAGATGAATGAAAGAAAGAGACAGATGAATGAAAGAAAGAGACAGATGAATGAAAGAAAGAAAGAGACAGATGAATGAAAGAAAGAAAGAGACACAGATGAATGAAAGAAAGAGACAGATGAATGAAAGAAAAGAAAGACAGATGAATGAAACAGATGAATGAAAGAAAGAAAGAGACAGATGAATGAAAGAAAGAAAGAAAATGAAAGACAGATGAAATGAAAGAAAGAAAGAGACAGATGAATGAAAGAAAGAAAGAGACAGATGAATGAAAGAAAGAGACAGATGAATGAAAGAAAGATGAAAGAAAGAAAGAGACAGATGAATGAAAGAAAGAAAGAGAGAGATGAATGAAAAGAAAGAAAAGAGACAGATGAATGAAAGAAAGAGACAGATGAATGAAAAGAAACAGAAATGAGACAGATGAATGAAAGAAAGAAAGAGACAGATGAATGAAAGAAAGAAAGAGACAGATGAATGAAAGAAAGAAAGAGACAGATGAATGAAAGAAAGAGAAGAGACAGATGAAAGAAAGAAAGAGAAGATGAATGAAAGAAAGAAAGAGATGAATGAAAGAAAAGAAAGAGACAGATGAATGAAAGAAAGAAAGAGACAGATGAATGAAAAAGATGAAAGAAAGAGAGATGAATGAAAGAAAGAAAGAAATGAAAGAAAAGAAAAGACAGATGAATGAAAGAAAGAAAAGATGATGAATGAAAGAAAGAGACAGATGAATGAAAGAAAGAAAGAGACAGATGAATGAAAGAAAGAAAGAGACAGATGAATGAAAGAAAGAAAGAGAAAGATGAATGAAAGAAAGAAAAACAGATGAATGAAAGAAAAGAAAGAGACAGATGAATGAAAAAAAAAGAAAGATGAATGAAAGATGAATGAAAGAAAGAGACAGATGAATGAAAGAAAGAATGAATGAAAGAAAGAAAAGAGATGAATGAAAGAAAGACAGATGAATGAAAAAGAAAGAGACAGATGAATGAAAGAAAGAGACAGATGAATGAAAGAAAGAAAAGAAAATGAATGAAAGAAAGAGACAGATGAATGAAAGAAAGAAAGAGACAGATGAATGAAAGAAAGAAAGAAAGAAAGACAGATGAATGAAAGAAAGAATGAAAGATGAATGAAAGAAAGAAAGAGACAGATGAATGAAAAGAAAGAGACAGATGAATGAAAGAAAAGAAAGAGACAGATGAATGAAAGAAAAGAGACAGATGAATGAATGAAAGAAAGAAAGAGATGAATGAAAGAAAAAGAGACAGATGAATGAAAGAAAGAAAAGACAGATGAATGAAAAGAAAGAGACAGATGAATGAAAAGAAAGAGAAGATGAAAGAGAAAGAAAAAGAAAGAGACAGATGAATGAAAAGAAAGAAAGAAACAGATGAATGAAAGAAAGAAAGAGATGAATGAAAGAAAAGAGACAGATGAATGAAAGAAAGAAAGAAACAGATGAATGAAAGAAAGAAACAGATGAATGAAAGAAAAAAGAAAAGATGAAAGAAACAGATGAATGAAAGAAAGAGACAGATGAATGAAAGAAAAGAGACAGATGAATGAAAGAAAGAGACAGATGAATGAAAAGAAAGAAAAGAGACAGATGAATGAAAAGAAAAACAGACAGATGAATGAAAAAAGAAAAAAGACAGATGAATGAAAGAGACAGATGAATGAAAGAAAGAAAGAGACAGATGAATGAAAGAAAAAGATGAATGAAAAATGAAAGAAAAAGAGACAGATGAATGAAAGAAAGAAAGAGACAATGAATGAAAGAAAGAAGATGAATGAAAGAAAGAAAGAAAGATGAATGAAAAAAAGAAAGAAACAGATGAATGATGAATGAAAGAAATGAAAGAGACAATGAATGAATGAAAGAAAGAGACAGATGAATGAAAGAAAGAGACAGATGAATGAAAGAAAGAAAGAGACAGATGAATGAAAAGAAAGAAAGAGATGAATGAAAAAAAAAAAAAGAGACAGATGAATGAAAGAAAGAAAGACAGATGAATGAAAGAAAGAAAGAGACAGATGAATGAAAGAAAGAAAGAGACAGATGAAAGAAAGAAAAGAGACAGATGAATGAAAGAAAGAAAGATGAATGAAAGAAAGAAAGAGAGAGATGAAAGAAAGAAAGAGACAGATGAAAGAAAAGAGACAGATGAATGAAAAGAAAGAAAGAGAAAGATGAATGAAAGAAAAAGACAGATGAATGAAAGAAAGAAAGAGACAGATGAATGAAAGAAAGAAAGAAAAGAAAGAATGAGATGAATGAAAAAGAAAGAAGATGAATGAAAGAAAAGAAAGAGAAAGATGAATGAAAACAGAAAGAATGATGAATGAAAGAAAGAACAGATGAATGAAAGAAAAAAAGAGACAGATGAATGAAAGAAAGAAACAGATGAATGAAAAAAAGAAGAAAGAAAATGAAAGAAAGAAAGAACAGATGAATGAAAGAAAGAAAGAAATGAATGAAAGAAAGAAAGAAAGACAGATGAATGAAAGAAAGAAAGAGATGAATGAAAGAAAGAAAGACAGATGAATGAAAGAAAGATGAATGAATGAAAGAAAGAGACAGATGAATGAAAGAAAAGAAAAGAGACAGATGAATGAAAGAAAGAGACAGATGAATGAAAGAAAGAAAGAGACAGATGAATGAAAGAAAGAGACAGATGAATGAAAAAAAGAAGATGAATGAAAGAAAGAAAAGAGACAGATGAATGAAAGAAAGAGACAGATGAATGAAAGAAAGAAAAAGACAGATGAATGAAAGAAAGAAAAGATGAATGAAAGAAAGAAAGAACAGATGAATGAAAAGAAAAGACAGATGAATGAAAAGAAAGAAAGAAAGATGAATGAAAGAAAGAGATGAATGAAACAAAAGAAAAGAGAGATGAATGAAAGAAAAGAAAGAATGATGAATGAAAGAAAGAAAAAGACAGATGAATGAAAGAAAGAAAGAGACAGAATGAATGAAAGAAAGAAATGAAAGAAAAGAAAGATGAAGATGAAAAAAAGAAAGAGACAGATGAATGAAAGAAAGAAAGAAACAGATGAATGAAAGAAAGAGACAGATGAATGAAAGAAAGAAAGAGACAGATGAATGAAAGAAAGAGAAAAGAAAAAAAAAGAAAGAAAGACAGATGAATGAAAGAAAAGACACAAAGAAAAGAAAGAAAGAGACAGATGAATGAAAGAAAGAAAGACAGATGAATGAAAGAAAGAAAGAGAATGATGAATGAAAAAAGAGACAGATGAATGAAAGAAAAGAAAGAGACAGATGAATGAAAGAAAAAAAGAGAATGAAAGAAAAGAAAAGAGACAGATGAATGAAAGAAAGAAAGAAAAGACAGATGAATGAAAGAAAGAGACAGATGAATGAAAAGAAGAAAGAGACAGATGAATGAAAGAAAGAAAGAAACAGATGAATGAAAGAAAGAAAGACAGATGAATGAAAGAAAGAAAGAGATGAATGAATGAAAGAAAGAGACAGATGAATGAAAGAAAGAAAGAAACAGATGAATGAAAGAAAGAGACAGATGAATGAAAGAAAGAAAAGAGACAGATGAATGAAAGAAAGAAAGAAACAGATGAATGAAAAAAAAATGAAAAGAAAGATGAAAAAAGAAAGAAAGAGACAGATGAATGAAAAAAGAAAGAGACAGATGAATGAAAGAAAAGACAGATGAATGAATGAAAGAAAGAGACAGATGAATGAAAGAAAAAGAGACAGATGAAAAGAAAGAAAGAGACAGATGAATGAAAGAAAGAGACAGATGAATGAAAGAAAGAAAGATGAATGAAATGAAAGAAAGAGACAATGAAAAAGAAAGAAAGAAAGAGACAGATGAATGAAAGAAAGAAAGAACAGATGAATGAAAGAAAGAGACAGATGAATGAAAAATGAAAGAAACAGATGAATGAAAGAGACAGATGAATGAAAAAGAAAGAGAACAGATGAATGAAAGAAAGAGAAAGATGAATGAAAGAAAGAAAGAGACAGATGAATGAAAGAAAGAAAGAGACAGATGAATGAAAAGAAAGAGACAGATGAATGAAAGAAAGAAAAGAGACAAAGATGAAAGAAAGAAAGAGAAAGATGAATGAAAGAAAGAAAGAGAGATGAATGAAAGAAAGAGACAGATGAATGAAAGAAAGAAAGAGAGATGAATGAAAGAAAGAAAGAGACAGATGAATGAAAAGAAAGAGACAGATGAATGAAAGAAAGAAAGAGAATGAATGAAAGAAAGAGAGAGACAGATGAAAGAAAGAAAGAGACAGATGAATGAAAAAGAAAGAGAAAGATGAATGAAAGAAAAGAAAGACAGATGAATGAAAGAAAGAAAGAGACAGATGAATGAAAGAAAGAAAAAGACAGATGAATGAAAGAAAGAGATAGATGAAAGAAAGAAAGAGACAGATGAAAAGAAGAACGAAAGAGAAGATGAATGAAAGAAAGAGACAGATGAATGAAAGAAAGAGACAGATGAATGAAAGAAAGAAAGAGACAGATGAATGAAAAAAGAAAGAGACATGATGAATGAAAGAAGAAAAAAAATGAGACAGATGAATGAAAGAAAAGAATAAAGAGATGAATGAAAGAAAAGAAAAGAGACAGATGAATGAAAGAAAGAGACAGATGAATGAAAGAAAGAAAGAGACAGATGAATGAAAGAAAAAAAAGAGAGATGATGAAAGAAAGAAAGAGACAGATGAAAGAAAGAAAGAGACAGATGAATGAAAGAAAGAAAGAGACAGATGAATGAAAGAAAAAGAGACAGATGAATGAAAGAAAGAAAGAGATGAATGAATGAAAGAAAGAGACAATGAAAAGAAAAGAAAGAGACAGATGAATGAAAAAAAGAAAGAAGATGAATGAAAGAAAGACACAGATGAATGAAAGAAAAAAGAAAGAGACAGATGAATGAAAAGAAAGAGACAGATGAATGAAAGAAAGAAAGAGAGATGAATGAAAGAAAGACACAGATGAATGAAAAAAAAGAAAGAGACAGATGAATGAAAGAAAGAAAGAATGAAAGAGATGAATGAAAGAAAGAAAGAGACAGATGAATGAAAGAAAGAGACAGATGAATGAAAGAAAGAAAGAGACAGATGAATGAAAGAAAGAGACAGATGAATGAAAGAAAGAGACAGATGAATGAAAGAAAGAAAGAGACAGATGAATGAAAGAAAGAGACAGATGAATGAAAGAAAGAGACAGATGAATGAAAGAAAGAAAGAGACAGATGAATGAAAGAAAGAAAGAGACAGATGAATGAAAGAAAGAAAGATGAATGAAAGAAAAAGAAAGAGACAGATGAATGAAAGAAAGACACAGATGAATGAAAGAAAGAAAGAGACAGATGAATGAAAGAAAGAGACAGATGAATGAAAGAAAGAAAGAGACAGATGAATGAAAGAAAGAGACAGATGAATGAAAGAAAGAAAGAGACAGATGAATGAAAGAAAGAGACAGATGAATGAAAGAAAGAAAGAGACAGATGAATGAAAGAAAAGAGACAGATGAATGAAAAAAAAAGAGACAGATGAATGAAAGAAAGAGACAGATGAATGAAAGAAAGAAAGAAAGATGAATGAAAGAAAGAGACAGATGAATGAAAGAAAAGAAACAGATGAATGAAAGATGAATGAAAAAAAAAAAAAGAGACAGATGAATGAAAAAAGAAAGAATGAAAGAAAGATGAATGAATGAAAGAAAGAGACAGATGAATGAAAGAAAGAAAGAGACAGATGAATGAAAGAAAGAGACAGATGAATGAAAGAAAGAAAGAGACAGATGAATGAAAGAAAGAAACAGATGATGAATGAAAGAAAGAGACAGATGAATGAAAGAAAGAAAGAGACAGATGAATGAAAGAAAGAGACAGATGAATGAAAAAAAAAGAAAGATGAATGAAAGAAAGAAAGAGACAGATGAATGAAAAGAAAGAAAAGAGACAGATGAATGAAAGAAAGAAAGACAGATGAATGAAAAGAAACAGATGAATGAAAGAAAGAAAGACAGATGAATGAAAGAAAGAGACAGATGAATGAAAGAAAGAAAGAGACAGATGAATGAAAGAAAGAAAGAGACAGATGAATGAAAGAAAAAGAGACAGATGAATGAAAGAAAAGAAAGAGACAGATGAATGAAAGAAAGAGAAGATGAATGAAAGAAAGAAAGAGACAGATGAATGAAAAGAAAAGAAAGAGACAGATGAATGAAAGAAAGAGACAGATGAATGAAAGAAAGAAAGAGACAGATGAATGAAAAGAAAGAGACAGATGAATGAAAGAAAGAAAGAATGATGAATGAAAGAAAGAAACAGACAGATGAATGAAAGAAAGAGACAGATGAATGAAAGAAAGAAAGAGACAGATGAATGAAAGAAAGAGACAGATGAATGAAAGAAAGAAAGAGACAGATGAATGAAAGAAAGAGACAGATGAATGAAAGAAAGAAAGAGACAGATGAATGAAAGAAAGAGACAGATGATGAATGAAAGAAAGAGACAGATGAATGAAAGAAAGAGATGAGATGATGAAAGAAAGAGACAGAAATGAAAAAGAAAGAAAGAGACAGATGAATGAAAGAAAAGAGACAGATGAATGAAAGAAAGAAAGAGACAGATGAATGAAAGAAAGAGACAGATGAATGAAAGAAAGAAAGAGACAGATGAATGAAAGAAAGAAAGAGACACAGATGAATGAAAGAAGAAAGAAGTTCATATCAAGAAGGGAAACCAAATAAAAAAGAATAATGAAACAGAATGAAAGGCGCACCACGAAAATGTTTAAATCCTTTAGAAACCATCCCAACAACATATGATGTCCAACGATGCAAAAAAAGGTCAGTAAGTTCTTATCATTTTATTTCTTTTACGTGCGTTTGAAGTAATAATAATAATAATAATAATAATAATAATAATAATAATAATAATCAAATTTATTTATATTTTTATGAAAGTTAAGTTTACTAGCACTTAAATTTATCAATAAATAGAAATCCGTACACTTATTGGGATGGCCAAGGACGCATTCCAAAAGCTGGGCAGAGTATTCCGAGACAGGAGGATTTCTTTGGTAACAAAGAAATTTGTACTGAGTTGTTACATGACATCTGTCCTTCATTACGGCAGCGAATGTTGGACGGTTTCCTCAAAGATGAAGAAGAGACTTGAGGCGACGGAAATGTGGTTCTACAGAAGGATGGTGAGGATATCATGGACCGAGGATTGGATGAAAACAAGGAGGAAGCTTATACTTAACATCAAGAATAGGCAGCTTAAGTTTCTGGGATACCTAATGAGAAAGGAGGGCTTAGAGAATCTGATACACAGAGGTCGAATACAGGGAAAAAGAGAAAAGGGAAAGCAACGCATGACATACATGGGGGCTTAGGCAAGTGGATGGTACAACGTGGTCTTTTGAAGTTGGCAGAGGGACGAAACTTATTGGGAGCCACAAGAGATAGGAGGAAGTGGAGAGCCATGATCGTCTACGTCCTGAAAGGACACGGCACATAAAAAGAAAAGAATGAGTAGATCTGTTTTATATACAATTTTTTTTTTAAATTTTACATCTTTTTCTATATGGTGATTTTCTAAGTGCAGTATGGGTCACCCAGTGAGGATCAAACTCACTATTCAGTTGTAATGGTTCTAAGTGAGATAAATTTGCTAACCATTACACCACGACGAGAGATCTAAGTTTCTTCTATATGGCAGTGAATGCTGGACCATCTCAAAGATGAAGAAGAAACTTAAAGCAACAGAAATTTGGTCCTATAGAAGAATGCTGAGAATACCATGGACCGAATGTGTGGGCAACCACGAATTCCTGACCTGAGATCTCGGCTTCAGTCATTTTCCTACCGCCGTAAAACGGCTTCCCTGTGTCTTTTCTATAAATAAAATGATAACTCTTCTAAGATAAAATACAGGAAAGAAGGGATGCGAGAAGGCTTCCCGTCTGTTTCAGTGAAATGGAAAAAGTTGACAATTTTAAACCTTTTAATTTGTACCTCTTAATTCTTAGAATAACGATTAGCGGCCATATTTACGATCGTTATGGCAATATTTTGTTAAAGTTGTTAAGCTGAAATATTTAACGATTTCTACGGATAATTTATTGCCGTAGAATTTGCCTTGAGCTTATTCAATCATTAAATGAAGAATTAAGATTTAATTTATTTTTTTAATTAATGTGCGCACTTATTTTATCAGTGCTATAATAATAAAAAATAAAAATAAAGATAAAAATTTAAATTAAATTAATAAATAAATAAATCATATTCATTTTGTGCAGCCTCGTTCCTAATTGCCATTACACATGACGTCGCGCTAGTCGATTTCAAATGTCCAACTTCCCAAAGAATACCTGGACGCAGACAAAGGAATTCTAACACAGACACCACATCGGTTCTTGATAATGAGCGCGAAAATCGAAAGTACTTGAACAAAAATAACAAAATATGAACATCGGACAATTTATCACCAACTTTGAGCAATTTTACTCAACAACTTATCCGAAAATTGGAAAAATACAATAAAAAATTAAGCAAACAGACCTTGTCGGTTCTATTCATATCCCAACATGACAACATTATATTAAACAAATATATTTCCAACAAAGAAAACGTATTTTTTAAAAACAAAACAAATGCAACTGCCTAAAAATTATCTGTCCCTTAAACGGTCAATGTACCATTGATACTGTTGTATACCGAGCGAGCATATATTCTGGTAACGATGTTAAATTTTATATTGTTTCCACCGAAAATCATTGTAAGATTCGTTTCTACTATCTTCGAATGACTTTAGGTAATATAAAATACAAAAATAGCACTAATCTCTCCAAATATTTCTAGCAATTAAAGAATGATGGTAATTCACCTACGATCTACTGGGATATTATGGCAAGAGCTAAATCTCATAACGGAAAAGGAAACATGTCTTACTGAATAATTGGTTACCTTAAGACACTTAAATAACACGAGTTTATTAAAAAGAAATGAATTGATGGTTACATATAGGAATAAAAATAAATATCTGCTTAAATACGTTGATATTTTAAATTACGGTTTATTTTTAAGGTAAATTAAGGTTTGTTTTTTTTTATTGTTTTTTTAATAAAAAAAAAAAAATAAGCAATCTCCCATTCATAAAAAATGATATTCTCAACACTTAAAAATTATTCTACACACACACACACACACACACACACACAC